GTTTCGGGCCTAGATTTCTGAAGAAGGGTCTAAGTCATAAGAGGTTCCTACTTACTGTCCATGATTTCAGCCAGTGAATTTTGTTCCACCCTATAATCCCCCCTTTTGGTTTTAATTCAAGTTTTTGAAATGGAACTTGATTGAGGGTCTTCTGGTGATCAGAATATTATAAACAGGAGCTTGGGTAAGCTATCAGTTCCCACAATGTTGCTCCATAATTCAATAAGGTTATGGCTCAGTATTTACATTAATTTCATTTTCCCTCCCTACTCCTATATACCATGATATCCCAGGTTCCCAAAATTGATTCATCACGGTATTAAATAGACAGATTGACTGAGCATTGACAGCCATCTGGGATAGAGAATTGTAAAAAATTACAGCTGATTGAAATACTCTGTAACTTAATCCTAAATGGTTGACCCCTTATCCCAAGACTAAGGATGTTAATTTTAGACTCTCCACCCAAAGGAAGCAGCCTCTTAGCATTAGCTTCCCAAGCCCCAGAAGAGTTTTATATTTCATTCAGATCAATGCTTATTCTTCCAAAGCTCTGAGAATAGGGGGCCATCCAATTCAATCTCTGCTCACAACAAAGTGATTTTTCAATCTTTCTTGCAAGGAGGGTTTGTAATTTACTTTAAAGAAGGAACTTTCATTTATATAGTGCCTTTCAAAGCTTTGGTCTTACTACAAGTGTTTTAAAGCCAATTAATTACTTTTTTTAATAACATAGGAAACAGTGCAGCCTATCTATGCATAGCAAGATCCCACAAACATCAATGTAATAATTAAATAACAGTTTTAGATTTTTTTGGTTGAGTAGTGTTGGCCAGAAAGCAGGAAAAGTCACCTTCAGATCTGATCATGTACATTATTGCTGTATGTGGAAGCTCACTGTGGACAAATTGGTTGGCCAGTTTACAACAAGGACTGTTCTTCAAAAAGTACTTGTTTGGCTGTGAAACATTTTCAGTTGGCATGAAGTTGTGAAAAGCACTTTAGAAATGCAAGTTCATTCCAGAATTCCTATATTCTTTTTCAAATAATGCCATGTTATATTTTATATCTAATAGAAAATGCAGCATGGAGGGAAGATTTCAATTTAATATCACTACAGTAAACAGTTCTTCAGCAAGCCATAAGTTTTGGTGGGTCTTGATCCCACATTGTTTTAACTTAAAGGCAAGAATGCTACCAATGAACCAACACTGACAGCTATATGCAATAGCCCCAATAAAATGAAATTTGACCTATTGCTTAAATTTTATGAATAGATGGTGATCCATTTTATTAGTCTTTTTATTCTGGCACAGGTAAGATGGGCTGAATTGCCTCCTTTAATTTTTCTCATTCTATAATCGGCTACCCATCTGGATTAATCTTTAGAATGGTTGCTATTATTTCATCCTTCACCTACCTTAAGTTAACATAATTTTAATTACCTAGTTCAGATATGTCACTGTTTTAAATGTAATTGTTACAGAGTTTCCTTCCAGTCCAGCTCAATCATTAAGAGAACAGGTTCCCGTAAATTTCTCCCTTCTTCTTTAACTTCATATATGCATTACGATACCTGGCAAAAGAGATTTGTCATTTTTAAATCCCTTTATCTTTTTACAACAAGAACAATCAGAGAATGAGTGAATTGATCAGAAAATTAAAATGCAGCTACTATACTTTATTTTGCCTCCTCCAATGCCAATTTCTTATGTGTTTTTCTCATAGCTGTGCAACATGAGAGGGGACCTAGGACATCAACAATAAGAAAGCAGGTAGCCCTGTATTTCCGGGGGCACAAGGAAGTAAATGGAGGTGTAAATCCTTATCCAGCAACTGCTTTACCTGGACCAGCTTTCTTCACTGCTGTCACCCAGTTAGAAACTCACAACATTGATCTCACTACAGGGTCTGATCGTCAGGCGTTGGTGGGTTTACCACAACCAACTCCAAAGGTAATTGATCATTTCCACCTTTGAACACCAGCTGCTTTCAGATTTCAACAAAGCAAATCAATGATCAAGCAGAAAAATTGGTGCAGTTTGTCATTTGTACATCCATCAGTCAATACAGCCAGATGTTTTGAGGCAATCCATGTGGTAGTACTCATACAGAATAGTCATTCAGTGGATTGGCCCACAATTGTGTCAGCTTAAAAGGGAATGCAATTTTGTCTTAAAATAGCAACAGTTTCAGAACTGACTTATTTGCTCTACCTATACATGACTAAATCTTGTATTCTGTTTTGATTTAATTTGCAGTGAACAGTGCAGTTAAAATGTAATTAACAAACATTGACAATATTCACATTGATATAGACAAAAAGACACATACTAAACTCACCCACAAAGCTAAGTTCTCATATGTAGAAACACACCATGTGGGTATATACAAGGTTTACCCTCATACAGTTACACAACGACACATACATACTTGATATGCATTTGTGACCCATAGACATATCTCAACAGACAAGAACATGTGATACTTAGAGTCATAAACATCAATCCAATTTGTCCATACCGCCCAAGTTTCCCAAACTAAATTAGTTCCACCTGCCTGCATTTGACCCATACCCCTCTAAACATAAACCAAAAGAACTGCGGATTTTGTAAGGCAGAAACAAAAATAGAAATTGCTGGAAAAGCTCAGCAGTTGTGGCAGCATCTGTAGAGAGAAATCAGAGCTGACATTTCAGTCAGATGACCCTCCCTGTAGACCTTTCCTATTTGTTTTCCTGTCCAAATGTCTTTTAAATGTCTACTACTTCCCCTAGCAGTTCATTCCACACACAAACCCCCTCTATGTGAAAACATTGCTCCTCAGGTCCCTTGTAAATCTTTCTCTTCTCACCTTAAAAATATGCCTCCTAGTTTTGAACTCCCCCACCCTAGGGAACAGACATTTGCTATTCACCTTATCTATACCCCTCATGATTTTATACATATACTGATACAGATACACACATAGATTGATGGAGATACCCATATCTATATGCAACATATACACGTATGCAGAAACATGCATGCATAAAGCTATGCAGTTATATACAAACATTGAATGTATATATAAACTGCAGTAGATACAAACACATACACATGAACTTACAAATACATTCAATCACACAATAAAGCCCATACTTTACTATTGATGGCAAACCAATGGCACCCACCATATATTAGATTTGCCTCTGTCTGCTTAATTTCCATCAATACTTACACAGCACTTTCTATAAATACAGAGACCCTTCTACAGAGCTCCTGACACCTGTGTGAACCAGGCAAATACTTGTGAATTTATTTAACAAATTGTAGAAGATTTGTACAGATTGTAGAATTGTTAATGAATGCTGTGAGCCCTCAACCAGCAGTGTCAAATTGAGCATCAAAATAAATGTAAAATCAGGTACAAAATAAAGAAGGAAAGCAGGGCTACAAAAGAAAAGTTAAAATAATCCAAAATTCAAAAGCTGAAAGAGTGAGACTTCATGGTGTCTGAAGGTTATTTTTTGAGCTACATTATTGTTAGTATTGGCAGTAATTAAGATTTGTTGAATTATCAAAAAGTCTGAAATGGACCATCCTAACTATCAACACTGTTTAGATTATATGTATCATGAAAGTACAGTGGGGGCCATATAATTCACTACATTTGAGTGGAGAGACCAACAGCAAGAATGTAATTTTGATTTTGCTTGCTGAAGTTTGCCGATCTCAGATAGCAACTTTCAGATTTTAGCATTTGACCATACATCTGTAACCCCCTAAAGCTGCTGTTTGATTTGCACATATATAACAGAATTCTTACCCATAGTCTTTCACACTACATGTCCATACATGCTCATACCCATGGCACAATTGACAGCACTAGGTTAGAAGTTCATGGGTTCGAAGTTCTAGTCCAGAAAACTTGGACACAAACATGGGCTTTTTTCACCAAAACTATATTATTTATTAAAAAAGAGATGTTCAAAACCACTTCATTTGAATATCATAGAAAGCATGACAAAGTTTAACTACACTGTGTTGCATTCTGTGGTGTCCCAACAATATTGTAATACCCATGATATTTACTACATATGTTATACGTCAAGCATACGGCCGAAGAGGTTCTCTACAGTTTCCAACCCCTTGTTATTGTATGTGGCTGAAAAACCTTAGGTACCAACCTTTCCCTATTGAACCTTTGTGGCCGCTACCCAAACTTCACATCATCCTTGAAAGAACACATCATCTTGGAAGAACAACAAATTTCAGATGGACACAGATGATAGTCCTCCAGAAGTAGTTGATGTTTGTCTTGACGTGTATCCCTAGGATCAGCACAGAATCTAGTGTCTCAGATCTGCTTTTGGGACCAGCCCTGACAAAAAAAAATTGTGCCCCTTTCCAGATCTTCTTTGCAAAGGCATATTCTAGAAAAAGGAGGACGTTAGTCTCTTCCACACCATTGCCTCTGCTTCAAGGGCAACATGCATGGCTGTAAGACTTTCCATGTGCAGGATGAAACTCACAACCAGCCAGTCTACATCTAGGTGCTTGTAATTTGGGCTGATGCTCCATAGCAGTACTGAGCTAATGCCACACGGTCAGAAGGGTTGTTCAAATGTGATGTTAATGCGAGGCTCTATTAGCCCTCTCAGGTGGATATAAAAGGTTCCAAGTTGCTATTTTGAAGGAAAGCATGGGACCTATTCCCACTCTCCTGGCCAATAGTCACCCCTCAATCAGCATCACTGAGGTATTTTCTCGTCAGTTACATGTTGCTGTTTGTGGCATCTTGCTGTGCCAGTTGGTGCGTTTCATAAGTAATAACACTTTAACCAGTACTTGCTAACTGTAAAGCGCTTTGTGAGGTCTTGAGTTCATAAAAGGCGCTATATAAGCGCAAGTCTTTCCTTTTCCATACCTATACATCGAGCGCATCTGGCAAAATGATGCTGGTGGACGTTTGTTGTAATATAAGGACGATGGCAATAGTTTATACCAGAAAATGTCTTTTGTTGCTTGCTTTAGCTGGAGGGTGAACCCACGCTAACCCCATGTGAAAAGATTATCAGTTAACTAATCCGTCATCGGAATATGGAAGCGCGGCAGTTTTCTTTTCCCTTTGTGGCGTGGTGCTGCAAACCATCTCCCATTGATTCGAGCACAATATACCTGACTACAGTAAAATGCTGATTGACTTCAGTGCAACACGATCCCACCAAGTGAAAACGATCCTAGTCAGCGGGGCCAAAAACTATCCACCACTTTAAATCCAACAATTCGGGGAGCATAATGATGTCAAAACTGCTTTCTCAGACTCAAACCACATTTGTACAGTTTTAAAAGAGCACTTTAAGTTATGCAAATATATAATTAGCTTTTTAAAAAAATCATCTCGGGTTCTACAAACGCAGGCATGTTGTTTGTTTGCAAAGTACTCGTATTGTTTTATTTCAAATAGTTTTTGACACAGCTATATCGCATTGTAAACATGAATTTTGCTGGTTGTGTCAATGCTATGTGTGCGGGGTTAGGTGGGTGGCGGTAATGATTGGTTCCGAACCGGAGGGACAGCAGATGATGTATTTCACCTCTAGAATGCACCTCCCCTGAGAAAACTATGACCAACTCCACATACGAAAACCTGATTTCAAAGCTCATGGAGCGCTTCCGAGCTGAGCGGCTTCCCAAGCCGCAGGAAAGCATTTCCGAAAACAAGCCCATTGCACAGCAACCCAACAGCAGCACATCACTGAATCTGGTTCAAAGGCCGGCTTTGCAATGTGCACTACAAACTGTGTAGTTTGGATAAGGCTCACTTAAGTATTTCAGAATGATCTATTCCATATTTGGGAAATTGTCACTTGGCTAAAGCATGCATGGTGTTTGGCTCTGTCAGTATTGAAAGGCGGTTAAATTTTGCGGCCCTCGGGTTCCTCTTGATTGATGCTAATGGGCCGCTTGTTCTTAGCTCCCGATTCACCCTCCAAATTTGTAGCAAGTTGCCCTCTTGACAATCTTAGTGCGCGATAACAACTTGCGTTTGAGGCTGAAGACAAACGTGCAGTTTATAATTCACTAAGGAATATAATTGAATACAGAAAGTACACGGGAGATCTGAAAACGGCTATAAGATGGGCAAAGAGAAAAAGTACCAGTGTAGAAAGTAACGTAAAAGAGAATCCAAAAGTTTTCTCTTTTAAAAAAACATGTAAATAGTAAGAGAGATAGCAGGAACTGCAGATGCTGGAGAATCCGAGACAACAAGGTGCAGGGCTGGATGAACACAGCAGGCCAAGCAGCATCATAGGAGCAGAGAGGCTGACGTTTCGGGCCTCGACCCTTCATCAGAAAAGGGGGAGGGGAAGGGGGTTTTGAAATAAATAGGGAGAGAGTGGGAGGCGGATAGAAGAGGGATAGAGGAGAGGATAGGTGGAGAGGAAACAAACAGGTCGAAGAGGCGGGGATGGAACCAGTAAAGGTGAGTGTAGGTAGGGAGTTAGGAAGGGGATAGGTCAGTCCAGGGAGGACGGACAGGTCAAGGGGGCGGGATGAGGTTGGTCGGTAGGAGATGGAGGTGCGGCTTGAGGTGGGAGAAGGGGATAGGTGGGAGGAAGAACAGGTTAGGGAGGCAGGGACGAGCT